CAAGACGAGGAAACAGAGCAGTTTGAAAAATCAATGATTCCCTGTTCTGACTCACCGCTTGTTCTAAATATATATCGTTAATATAGTATGATGTCATTGTTTAGGATGTGAGGGCAGTTGGGAGGATGTGTTGACGATCTCTCATTGATTTCCCTACCTTGGCATTGAGGAACTGATTGAAACTGATGACTTATTCTCCCCGATATCAGTATATTGGAAATCATCTGTGATCATGGCACAGTCTTGTCTAACTCAATACGGCTTGATCAGTTCTCAGGCCATGTTGTATTTGTGTGTGTATATTTCATGTTGATAACTGAAGTACTCTAAGTTCTGGCAATTCGATATATTTCCTTAGAGGTTACTTGTGTTGATTTCATTATCTGATAATGTTTTTTGTCTAGATTTCGGAATTGTGGAAAAAATTGTTTTTGTGATGAGCAGACTATTGCGTAAATGGATTAACTCATTTTGGGGAGAGTGGGGAGACATTTTTCTCTTTTCTTCTTTGTGGAATGATTTTTCTGTAACATTTGAACAATGTTTTCAAAATTAGTCAATTTAAATGCTTTTGAGTGTTTGATTTCATTTCTGAGTGTGTAGTTAGTGCAATAAGTGTTGTTGAAGCTCGTTTTGTTGTACATTTCTAGAAGAATGGCATGAATCATTAAAAGATTTATATGCATAATAGAGAAAAGAGATTTAGAGTTTGATGAGATTGCACTGTTTCCCCGGGAACTTGCTGAGCTGAGCAGTTCTCAAGAGAATTGGCTATTCAAGTTGAATAAAGCAGTCAAGCGGTATAGGACTTTACGTCTTTTGTTTAGATACTTTTTCACTGAAATTCTAAAGTGACATTTCATGAGGTCATGTCAAGGATATTTCTTTCATCCCTTTTGATTCCTGTGTATTCTGTTGCACTGATAGTCTATGTATATTTCATGCAGTTGAATGTATGGTGACTTACTGTTATGTTATATATGGTTTGATGCTAATGGCACTCATCATCATCATCATCTATTATTTATATTATCAATAACATCTTCAGAAATATAATCGTTTTCTTCATCATTACATCCTTAAAGTATCATCACCATTGTTGTTATTTCCATCATCATTGTCATTATTATCATCATCATCATCATCATCATCATCATCATCTATTATTTATATTATCAATAACATCTTCAGAAATATAATCGTTTTCCTCATCATTACATCCTTAAAGTATCATCACCATTGTTGTTATTTCCATCATCATCATCATCATCATCATCATCATCATCATCATCATCATCATCAAACATAACCATGCAACAAGATACTACCTTAGTACATTCGTATTAAGATTTTGTTTTTCAAGATTATTCTTCTGAACAAATATTTTACTACGTCAGTCTCAATTTGGACTTGTCCATGGAAACTTATGGGTCAACAATAACAAGAGTCTACAACATGCAGGCAATTCAGTTTATCATATGTGCCATAGAGCACATCCTACAATAGTCCTGAATATATGTAATTTTGATAGTAACAAATAAACCCAATTAATTTGAAAAGGAGCCCCAGTGTGTTGGGAGATTCAGTCTAGGATGGCTTCATTTAAGGCTTCAGCGTTGTTACGAGGGCTAGGCTGTAGGGGAAATGATGATGTTCAGGGACTCTGAGACAGACTGATCACACAACACAAATAGGTACTTTTAACATAAATGTGAGTGAGTGAGTTTAGTTTTACGCCGCACTCAGCAATATTCCAGCTATATGGCGGCGGTCTGTAAATAATCGAGTCTGGACCAGACAATCCAGTGATCAACAGCATGAGCATCGATCTGCGCAATTGGGAACCGATGACATGTGTCAACCAAGTCATCGAGCCTGACCACCCGATCTCGTTAGTCGCCTCTTACGACAAGATAGTCGCCTTTTTATGGCAAGCACATGGGTTGCTGAAGACCTATTCTACCCCGGATCTTCACGGGTATTAACATAAATGTGGCGACTCAAGGCCTTATGAAGAAGTAATAATTATCCAGAAACTTGAAACAAGTAGGACAGACATTACACCAAGTAAAGGACATAGACAGGTCTCCCTTATCAGTATTCTGATAGTAAACATTGACTATCTTAGGGTGTGGGAGGTCACTGAGCAGTATCTATATCAAGTACTTATGTCAACAGCCTCTACTTAAAGTTGTCACTTTCAAATTTATTCCACATGTCAGTTTAAAGCATTATGTCAATCAAATAGCTTTAAAAGTAATATTTTCAGATTTTGAAAGAAAGTTGTGATGTTGTTTAGACATTTTGGGTGTGTAGTGTTTATACTGATAAATACACGACTGATAATGTACGTGAGGAAATGCACAATGCCTATTGAAGTAGTTATTGATAAAGACAATAGGTGCTTGTTTTCAAATCAGTGCTGGTAAAAGGAAAGTGAAGCTACTGATGGCTATGAACGTTGCCCACAGGTTTGTAGTAGGCTATTTCTGTCAATCTTTGACTACTAAATATGTAATATTTTCGTATGATCTTCATATGATTGACACATTAATTAGAAAATATAATTATGCCATATGGCTATCTTGATCCTATGCCTTCTTATAGGTCATTCTGTCATTCATTTTGTCTCATTGATTAATCATTGATTAATGTGTCAGTAGAACAAATGTATATCAAGGAAATACATAATTTTCTGTTATATTAGGATTGTATATTTCTGTATAATCTGTGTGGAATATATCAACCTCTATCAATATGGTAATGAAGAACCTGATTTAAACCTATGCTTTCCAAGTGGAAGAAAGTGTTTTTCTATGGTAAAGGTATGCCCATACTGTCTTTTCATGAATTTTTTCAAGTTTGATCTCTTAACAATAAACAAAAAAGTAAACAAATATGAAGAAAGAATAATGGAAGGGAAACACTATACACAAATACTGATGATGATGATGATGATGATGATGATGATGATGATGATGATGATGATGATGTATTGTAGGTACTTCTTGTAGGTACTTCTTGGGATACAGATGATGTGTTGTAAATGTATTGAGTCATCCCATTTGGACATATATTTTCAACAACATTTATTGATTTCTGTGGAAAATGAAAAGCCATATCACAAAGGGCATTACACTTTTTCCAACAACTTTATACATGCTTGAACAGCTGTGTTATTTTTCCTTGATCATTCATGAATGAAGACTGGGGTCAGCCATGCTTGTCCATTTCATTGTATCTCAATTCAATGGACGTGATACTGACATGTGTCCTGTGTGATGATGTTATTGATTGACTCATTCATTAAACTGGCGTCTAATTTCTCAACACCTGTTGTGCATTTATGGGTCATACCAGAGGTTCAGCTATGTATTCAGTATACATACGGTAGTTTCCATAGTATTTAATTAAGAGGCAGCTGCGTAGCCTAGTGGGTAAAGTATTCGCTCATCACGCTGAAGACCTGGATTCGAGACCCTATCTGGGTACAATGTGTGAAGCCCATTTCTGGTGTCCGCCACTGTGATATTGCTTGAATATTGCTAAAAGTGGTGTAAAATCATACTCACTCACTCATTTAATTAAGATCCTATTCATTTCATATACTTGGAATTTCACGCAGTTAACAACCAGGTTTCTCAATTATCTTCATGTACTTTTTTCTTACATATATAAATAATGTTTATGTCATGAAAAGAAATATATTTCCAATGTCAGAAAATTTGGCTCAGAGTTTATCAGTTTCTTAGATACTGCGTGATTTCTTGGCAAAATGCCAAGTATGCCATGCATTTTTCTGCTTGGAGTTGTAACCTTGATAAATATTAGCCTCAGAGGAATCTTCTTCAGGAAAACATTATTTCATGAATATGAATATGATTTATGTATTCAGAATTTTAGTCATGGTTGCAAGTTTTCGGAAATCCCTATTTGTTTGGATTTTTTCAGTTTTCAGCAGTGTCATGATTGATAGCACTATACTTCAAACTTTTGGAATTAAATTGATTAATTCTGAAGAACTGGGCTTTCATGACTGGTGCTTTGGTTTTGCTTACAAGCCTTGCAGAGGACATTTTGTCTACTTAAAACTAGAAGCTGATAGGCATATTCTGTTGTGAGGCGGGTATTGATTTTCAGAACTGAGTAGGACCCTGATGACTGATGGATTATACTTTGCCCTACATATCTGACATTATTTATAACCTGGCATTTTGGAAAACTGATTACCAAAACAATGGAATCGGAAATAACATAATATATTGACTTGAAAAGGAAATTTGAATTTTGCAGTGAGGGTAGCTTGGTAAACAGAGGGACAATTTAATGTTGAGAAATTATTTTTGCAATTTATCTGTTTTGAGCAGGAGAACCAGTGTATTTTGAACCAACATGCATTTACATTAATACAAAATCTTCTTCAATACTGTGGAATCCCTTTGATCTGAACAACTCAATGAAAACCATGTAGGCTTAGGATAGGACTGATATTTAGTTAATTTAATTGGTTTTATCATTGCCCAAATATAGAAGTTCACAATGTATGATGTTCAGATTAGCAAGATTCTGCTGTTCAGTTTATGAAAATATGTTATATTTTTATGTTAAAGTATCCAATTTGATATGATGCTGTACATGTCTATTATATTTAACCTGGAAATGTTTTCCTTGCAATTATGTGAATCATTTATGTGTGACACTTGGAATACAAATATTTTCTTCTAATAACTACATTGTTGTCTTTAGGTATTACAATTGATGATACAATGTTTGCCTCACAACTATATGAATGTCTTTATATATAACACTTGACATAGCGATATTTTCCTGACAACTATCTGACAACATTACATACCTCACTACTACCTGAATCTTGTTATGTATTACATTTGCCATAACAGTTGTTTTCTCACAAACTACATGTATGTTGATATATATTACACTTAACATTAAAATATTTTCCCCACAACTATCTGAATGTCTTTATGTCTATGTTTCAGCTTTGACGACAGCAGCTCAATCAGCAGCGGGGACATCAGCGACACTATTGCTGAAATCAGCACTGACGAGAACCTGACAGGTTCATCACAAGGTGCACTGTCGGACACAAACCCCTACAGCAGCTTGAAAAGAACCCCTAAAGATCTCACCCGTGGCTTCTCAAATGGAGGGGGAACGTCTCAAGTGCAAGGCAAGAGGGTTCCAAATTTGGGAACAAGTGCTTTTATGGGAAGTGATTACAATAGTGATTCCGGACATATAGGTTGGAGGAAGTACTCTCTGCCTCAGAACAGCAAACTATTGAGTAGTGATCCCAGTGATTACGCATACCCCTACAGCAACGGGTATGATCATAGTCAGTGGCGCCGAACAGATTCATCGTCCGGGTATGGTTCATTGAGGAAACTATCCAATGCCAGCCAGCCTGAGTTTGGTTACCGAGGGGAACATGTGTCATACGCTGAAAGTGAAAAGGGGACCTGCTCTACAAGTCCTTCAACTAAACGTGACTGTGAAACTAACACGGATAATTCGCACTTGCTAGAAACAAGCATGAAACGAATGCAGAATGCAAGGGGAGCTAACTGTGGCTCAGGGGGCAGTAGCAGTAGCTTTGGTTACCGCAGACCGCTAAGTAACGCTAGTAACTCCTCTATCGGTAGTAACAAGAGCTCGAGTTCTAAAGGTTCAGCAACCGTAGGTAGTCGACTGGCTAAGCATGGCGTGGATGCAAGTCCCATGTCCAAATCTGCCAATGAAATGCCTCCAAGTAGTATCCCCCGGCCTGGAAGTGCGGCTGCTAGAACAAACATGAAAGACGGTGACATGGGTCCCGAAGCTTATTGCAGCAGCACCCTGGAGAGGGAGAGGAAAAAGAAAAATGGTATAAGTGCAAGTAAATCCACTAGTTCGGCACAAACTGAACGAGACTTCCAATCCAATACGCTTGGACGACGACGGTTGTTCGGCAGCAAAAACAGCCTGAGTAAGACACCTCAAGGTGAAAATGGAAACCTCTGCAGTAGTACAATCATATCTAATCCTCATGCTACTTACAGCAGCAAATCCGAGTGTTCTTCTCCGTCTCATGGTGGCAAAAATACAAGCCATTACGTTAACCTGCAGCAGCTTCAAGCAACAGCCACACAGCAGAACATGCTGCAGTCTAACCCCAACTATATAGCCTTGGAATACTCTAGCCCTCGCAACTCCGGTTCTAATGGTACTTGGTTAAAATCTGCAAATGGTCACTTAATGCACGTTTCTGACACGGAAGAATCTCTATCTTCTGCCGCTTCCAGTATTCAAGCACAAATTCAGCAAGCACGTGCTTTAAGCGGTGCAAGTGCACGTATTCTCGCACACCAACGAGACTCTGTGCATGGGGGTGGAGTCGGTGGTGGGGAAGGGGGTGGGGGTGGCCTCCGACGTTCCAACAGCATCAAGTCCACCCAGTCTGACTGTGTATATTCCAGTAGCACCAAACACTCTGCTTGCGACGATCTTCCTCGCACCAACTCTTTCTCTCAACTGCCGAGTCCGAACTCGCAACAACCATCTTCGCCCACTCCTAGTTGTGCCTCCCAATCCTCTCGCTTTACATATCCTATGATGTATTCTCCTAACATGCTTAGTTCCAACAACACTCAGCACAACATGGTGCGGTCAAGTACCCAGTCCAGTCTTCCGTACTCGGGGCTTGCTTTGTCCAAATTGAGCAAACAAGACGAGGAAGGAAGTCGTAAGTGTGCTTTCAGTAGTTCTTTAGCAAGCTTTAGTTTAGTGATTAGGCCTGCGCTCAGGTTCGCTTTGCTTATGTACTCCTTTACGGTGTTTATATGTTATAGATCAACTGCACAATAGCCACAAATAATACTTCAAACTATCTCTTTTCTAAATTGTTCGATTGTTTAATGAATTTCATTTTAATTAAAAACTATTGATTATCTAATTGAACATCACAAATGAGAATGTGCAAAAGTTAAAATAATGTTAAAAATATACAAGTCATTTAACCAGAAATCATTCTGTGTAATTGTATTCCAGATTGTAAATTTTTTCAATTGGTTATAAATGTTCTTTCTAATGTAAACTATTTAAAGCCTGTAATTTTCAGGTATTATTTGTGGCAAAGTAGGTGTAGACTTATTATATAAATCAGATGTAAAGTGTAAACTTTCATTTACGCAAATATATATTTTATTATCAGGTCTGTCAAAATCTTCAACTTTGGATTATGCATATCTGAGTGATTATGCATATTCAAGCGGTAAGTGGTCAAAGGGAGGTAACTCCTCTTGAACTCTCTTCAAGATTTTGAAGCTGTATGTTGTCAACTTTCATCACATGAAGACATCTTCTACCTCCTATTTGTCAGCAGTGGATTTCAGATACAAAAACACATTGTTTATAATTACTTTTTTCATAGAAGGAAATGTAGTTTATATTTAGCCTTTTACGGCAGCTCACAGACAGTTTCTTCCTAGGAAAAAATTAAAGAAATTGAAATACAGCTCTTAGCATCTGTCAGTCAAACAATGCAATTGACCAAACAGAAAATCCTAAGTGATACAGATTCCTTTATTTTGTCCATTTTGAATTTCACCACAATATTGATGTTTTAAATATATATTCAACAATGTCACTCAGTAACATTAGGATCTCCGGAAATGTAACAAGACTCATTGTTAGAAGAAAACTTTATTTTTTTCAATGAAATACCTTTACATTTTAGTGACTAATTTGTATTTTTAGGGGGAGTTTAAGGTCTGCTCTGTAAACTAGTTATACAGAAGATTGAACACTTCTGAAAAAGTTTTTGGAGAATCTCAGCGATTGGTTTTATTTACTCGTGGGAAATATGCTTCACTACTTCACAACTTTTTGTTTTACAAATACAATTTCTGTGATCAGTGACCTTTAGTATGTCTGAATACCATTGAAAAGTCTTTCTTTAATGTCATCTAAAATAGTTTCGTTATCATAAAGACTGAAGCTTCTGTCTTGGTCCCTTGCAATTCATGAATGGTATTCAGACATGGCTATTTTGATTTGATTTGAACATTACAAAGAGAGCACAAATATTGACATTTTTTTATTTATTTGTTGTTAATGAATCACTCATGATAATTAAAATGAGGAACAAATTGTTACAAAGTTTTGTGCTTTGTCTGTTTCATCTTATTGACTTGAAACTTATTTATGTGCATATATAAATATTGATCCATACTGTCTTAATGTTTTCAGTGAAATGAAAATATTTGTGCTCTCTTTCTTGGTTATTTGTTGCCAGGTTTTAACTTCCCTTCTAATTCTACATTTTATTTCCAGCTTTAATTGTTTGTTTGCTTATGCAGTTGATAATTTTTTACCCATTTCATTCTTACTTTAAATATTATGTCAGCTGCAAGTTAGAAACGCATTTATAAAAAAACATATACTCTTTAGCAAGGTAGTTGCTTGTAACATATATTAAATACAATATTTTTTCAATTTATCTTCAATTCAAATTGATTTATTTGTTCATCAACACATACATTTTCATTGCTTGTTGGCTATAACGATTATGTCAACCTTCATTAATTGAACAATTTCCCAAAATCAGAATCTTCATCTTTTCAGTCCATGGATCCAATTTGTCACTTGTGTCTACATCATCATCAGTGTATTCATCGGTAAGAATTGATGCATTTAATAATTTGAAGTTGATTTAATATAAGTGTCTTGTGGGGCAGCCTAGTGGTTAAAGCGTTGCCTCGTCACGCCGAAGACCGGGTTTGATTCCCCACATGGGCACAATGTGTGAAGCCCATTTCTGGTGTCCCCTGCCGTGATATTGCTGGAATATTGCTAAAAGCGGCGTAAAACTAAACTCAGTCAGTCAGTCTTGTGCCTATGGCGAAGTATGTATTTCACTCTTGGTCCACATGGCACACATTGCTTGATTTGTTCATGTGGGTTTAACAGTGCAGAGTTGCTTCCCTTGGATATGCAAGGATCCTGATCCTTCAGCTGACACATCACTGATACATATTACAGTGTTAAAAAGAAATCACTTGTGTACTCACGCCTGAATGGGATGAATTATATATTCTAGCACGACATTGTGTGATACTCGATTCTGATTGGCTGAGAGCTCATCAAAACCGTACTTAAATGGCAGTTTAAGACCGCTAATTAAAGTGACCAATTCACCGCGTATGAATACGACGAACTCGTTGACCCTATTGTTCGTAAAGAAACATTTCGGACATCAGCAATTTCTAGCTCGGTAGCATCTTTGGTGTTTTTGAAGTAAAAAGCGAAGGGTTTGAAGAAGAATTTCTTGACCCTAATCCCAGTGAAGAAACTACAAAGCTGGAAAATCCGTCAGCAGCGAAAAGCAGCAGTATATTCAAACCGGGTCCAGATCTAGCGGGCATAACGTCAACAACACACGTCGGCCCACACTTCTTAACCTGACCGCTTCCGTCCCGGCCGTAATGCCCAGTCCTTCCACTTCCACTGTCCATGTATCCCACATAAAACGTGGCATGTCAGGTCTTTTCCAAATTGAGAATAGAAGGGTGGTTATCAACAATTATTTCCGTGAATAAAGTTAGCGGCAACTAAACTTAGCGAGTTTACGGCTTGAATTAGGGCGAGCCAATAAATCGTATGAGAAAAAGCTTGCTCACAGTATAAACTGTACTTTTGGATATTTATGTATGCTACTTGCAACAAATACAAGCATACTGGTTCCTGAAATAACGCTTTTATGTTGTTGAAAATGTCTTATTTTGTTCATTACACAACCTGTCCCTCAACGGGACGATGCCAAGCGATTTCCAGGAAACAGGCCCCTTCACGCCTTGTGTTCTTGCGCACCAAACAGTTCGGTTTTAGAACACTTATCAGTCGTGCTAGAATGAAGATAAAGCTACTCTGTTTTCAATTTTGTGGTCCTTTATCGTTGATTTAAGACCACTAAATGTAATTTAAAAACCGAACGCATTAAATGGTTTTTAAATTACATTTAGTGGTCTTAAATCAACGATAAAGGACTGCAAAATTGAAAACGGAGTAGCTTTATCTTCTAAATCAAGAGAAAATGGAATAACTATGAAGCAAATTATATATCAAGATAGATGTGAACACAGTCCGCTGGTGACTTTAAGTGAAGGAGGCAAAGTGATTCTTCGGCCTTAGCTGTCATGGGTACAGACTTTCAATGATAATGCTGAATGTGTGGAAAAGTGACAATTTACTGGTGTTTTCAAACATTATATGGGTGGTGGGGTAATCTAGTGGTTAAAGCATTCACTCCCCACATGAGCCCAATGTGTGAAGCCCATTTCTGGTGTCACCTGCCTTGATATTGTAGGAATATTGCTGAAAGCGCAATCAAACTAAACTCACTCTCACACATTATATATATGTGTGAATATTAAGATTTATTTTTAAATATATTTGTACTTTTGTTACAGGCTGAAGAAAAGCAACAAGCAGAGGTAAGGGAATGAATCATCTGTAAAATACCTATCATATCTATCTTTAAGTTTTCAAAGCTTTTTTTAAGTCATGCTTCATTGTCTAACTGCAAAAGATATCTTTTCACCACAAATATTTCAAATCCTGAATATTTTATGGACACTCAAATTTATAAAAAGACTTTCACAAAAATACCCAACTATTTTGGATGAGTGTGTGTTATATTCTGGATTAAGATTTTCTTTTATCAGTTTCAGTTCATTGGTTTTTGATTATCACAGGCATATTATTCAACTTGTATTCCACAACCTTTAAGAACCAGATCACTACTTCATTTTTATCTTGTCATTTGACCCAATATTATGTTTATGATTATTTTTTTGTTTTTCAAATCAGCTTAATCTCCAAAGATTTGTTGAGAAAGTCTGACCATATTTTAAGTTTAGTGTAATTGTGTTCTAGGTTCGCAAATTGCAACGAGAACTTGTATCCGCAGAGGATAAAGTGCTTACACTACAAACGCAACTGAACACCAACGTAAGTCAGAAACAGTTTGTTTTCATCAGTATTCCTTGCACAAAATTTCATACTAACTTTTACGATTAGAATTAGGATGAACCCCTTCTCCCTGTTTCATGAACATGTTTGAACTGACGCTGCACATTGAAACTGACATCCCACGACGATATAGGAAGTCGGGCATATCATTATTACTCTGAGCATCACCATCATCCTCATAATCATCATCTTCTTTGTAGTGTGTTAGGAATGCATGTATTTAGAATAGGAAGTTAAGACATCAGGCATAGTCTTACCACAACAACATAATTGGCTGTTCATCAGATTTGACATTTGTGAACAACTGAAATAAGAGGATGTGTTTTGGTGTTTTCTAAAATTTTGAAATAAAAGGACCAGAATAAGTTTATGATATATGTTTTGCCTGTATTGTAAAAAGTAAATCTGAAGAGCAATTGATAAATTTGTTGTGGCCTAATAATTTTGTTTCAATTTAGTTCATTTTAAACTATATTTTAAGCTCCTGTTCTTAAAGAATATCTGAAAAAGTCAAATAGAATTATATAGTTTTATATTTAAATGCATAAGTAAGTTTTTCTCACTTTTCGAAAGTAATGTCATTTAAAGATTGAAATAATGTCAAAATCATCATTTTATTAATGTTTCTTAAGAACAATGTAGTTAAAAGAACAATATTTTTTTAAGTATTTTTGAAACGCTTATTGAAAAAAGTATACCAAAGAAAGTTGTTTTCTTTCATACAAACTCTTCCAATCATCTATCAACAGAGAGCTGATACAATATTCTACAAAAATCAGGTAAGAAGGCCAAAAATCTAATCTGCCATATATCCTCCAGCACATCTGCAAGGCAAAATAGCCTCAACAGCTTTTTGAATATTTTAGTACGCTTCAATCACTTTCTAAGTAAGGGTTACTTCCCTTGATGCACTCCGATGGGATTGACAAAACATTCAGGGAGTCAGTATACGTTGAGAGTCCAAGCTTTTAGTATTTTAATTTTAGACTTTTAAATTTCATTCTTGACTTTATTCTTATATCAAATGTGTTGTGATGGTTTTGGGATTTTGTGATGGTACATGTATTCTATCCACCCTCTGCATATCCTGGTATTTACCCCTTGCATGCGTTTATTACACCCCTTATTTTCAGGATTTTAAAGTGTTTCATTTTTGTGATATTCAATGTATAGTGTATATCATATGTTATTGTTGATCCTGTGTAAATGTACTGATGTCTTTTTCACATTTGTCGTATGTATGTACCATTAGATCTTGTAACCTACGCCATCTTCAGGGTATCGGGTGTAAGGATTCTGAATATGATCCACAAGATAGTGTTTTCTTTGCTGTTATTTATCACACATGAAATCGTCATGCAATCAATTTTCCTTGTGAAAAGGTAAGATAATGAGGTGTTTTGAAGATGTAATCTGTGAAGTACCAAAACAGTGTGTAATCAATTGCATTGTTGAAGTTTAACAAGGTTTTCGTGATATCAGTTTTGATATTGACGTCAGATATTATGCACTTCACTCAAGGCATCAAGTGCGATCTACATGCTTTATGGTCTGTGATTAATGACTTAAGCTGAATATAGTAGTCTTACAGGAATATTTAGCTCAGAAGGTGTACCAAGAGAACATGAATGTTGTTTCCGAGGAAACATGCAAAAATAAGAACTATCCTCCTGTCGGTTTCATTTTGATGTGAATGTACGATATTGGTGATAGACATCTGTGACTGATTTTGAGGAATGTTAAGGAAGCATGGTGTAGGAGTGGGTTTACTTGTCTATTGTATCTCGTACATTTCCTTCTGGTCATACTCCATCTCACTGTTTTATGTTGGCTGAAGTCGTTGATTGATATTGACGAGTACATGGGAGCAACTTGAGCAATTGTAGAATTTGTAAACATCAGACACTGTAACCAATGAGGGCTTGTCATAGCGTTGGCAGTCTGTAACATGTCTTCCCACAGTACTTCCTGATGTATGTAGAAATGGACAACCTTGTTGGCAGGTTTGAAGTTGTAAACCTGGAGATTTAACATAATGACATAACCAAGTACAGCTTACGTGAATTTCCAGAGAGAATGTCTTCTGATAAGGACTTTCTTTTTTAAAAATATATAATAAAGTCAAGTACTTTCAGCTGTGTTTTTAAACATATCTTTTAAGTTTGTATTTAAATAGGTCATATTCTCAGTTGGTTGTGTGAATTTATAGGGTAGAATTGTATAATTCTCTACTCATCGTTATAATTGCTATAATTCTCTACTCATTTCGTCACGGTTCGACAACAGCTGAAATTGAAGTGTGAAAGGGTAGATTCCTTCATGAGTATGCACTCTGACAACATCGATTTCACCTGTTGGACCTGGGGATGATATCAACAAGTATCGAGTTACCGTTCTCACATCGCAGATTTAAATGATGACATTTCTGTAACCAGTACTGTGATGTAAAAACCTTTAGGGTGCAGAGATGAGATTGAAAGTGGACAGCAAAACTAAAAACAACCTCCTGGCCAGTGGGCAGTGCAGACAGATGTTGTTTCCATTGGAAATGAGCATCACCTCTTTATCCTGGGACGGGAGTTTATTGCCTTTTGCTTTCACTGACCTCTGGGTGGTCATGCACTGACATGAAGTATTTCCTTTAGTAACCAACTTGCTGTATTTTGGAACCTGGGCTTGAAGAATGCCTCTGAGAATTGAGCTGGTTCCTAGATGGTGATTTCACATTCCTGTGTATGGTTTTACCTACATCTATTAGCACGATAGCTTATCATGGGAGATTTCGGGGCAGGCTAGAGCAGTAGGGTTGGTGAACATTGCCAGCTTTATGAGTGAAGCCCTGAGATGATAACAAACTGTGAAACTACTTCCGATGCTACTGGGCACGAATCCTCAGCTTTAAATTCAGTGATGTGTTTTACGAAACATTGGCAAGTGAAATTTCGCTTGTTAGATTTGTGATGTGTTTGTGACTCCGTTGCCATAACAACAGTGGAAATGGAGAGATGGTCCATGTATCAGATGCGAGCCAATGACTGGTATATTCGAAACAATCACCAGTACTATAACAAGAAGGTTAGTACAGTTACTTGAATATTTTGAAATATTGGGTAGGTATGCTGGAGTCCTTTTTTCTAGTTTTCGCAAATTAATGGTTGATCACTTCGTTTCACTCATGCTTTACCTGAGCCCATGGGGATTTGTAAAAATACATGATGAAGAACTCAACTGGAATATATTTCTTGTACCTATCATCATCTGTTTGCTCATCTCAAATCTTCTATGTGTATTTCACATTTATCAGATAAGAACCAACATTAGCAAATCTATAAACTGTTGTCCTTGTCTGCAGCTGTTGACAACCCCTTAGAAATGTTGCCTGTTTAATGCATTATCTTGTACTGTGGTTTATTCCAGCCTATATGCCAAGGTTACCTGCACATACATAAATACATGTATATTTTTTAGGACTTCAACTTTAGGATGGGTGACTGACTATATTTTGGAAGCAGTTGTGGTTAAGTTTCCATTTTTCCAGCAAACTTTTAATCTTTGTTACTTTAGCTTTATGATTTTTACTTGTTTTGGTCAGGTTGCCATACAAATATTCCTACCTCCTCTTCTCATTCAGCTGAAGTCATGGCCCAATCGTACATTCTTCATCATCAACTCTCACTATAACAGATCCAATGTCATAAATGTCCCACCAAAACAGTTCAACACCACCATAACAGTCCCACCAACCCTAGCCCACCCCTCCATGACAGACCCACTTTCACCATAACAGTCCCCACCCTACCATAACAGTTCCCACCAGACCATGACAGTTCCCACCCATCCATGATAGTCCTAACCCCCTCCATGAGAGTGCCATCACCCTCCATGGCAGTCCCACCCACCCCAACCATATTACCCCAGCCCCCTATTTAAAAACATAATAATAAATTTAAAACCCCCACCTAAATGTCAATATCAATATATACTGGCATACCATAAATAGGGTTAAAAGTGTAACAGGTCAAATTTCTGGTTCTTTACTTTTGATTAACACTGAAAAAAGTCTAAGCTTCAAGAAGTGGAAAAAAATTAACCATGTCATATCTGTATTTTTCGCCAAATGTACAAAATGAATGTGTAGATTTCATCAATATTGACAAGATGTTAGCAAATATGTTCAACAAAGTCCTATCAGACAGGCAGATGACACTGTAGCTGGCTGAGGTAGTATTGCCTACAAAGGGTCAATATTTCCACAGAACACATTCTCCAGGAATGCTGGACAAAAAGGGCTACATTTATCACCTTTCAGATTATTTTGTTTACATCATGTACATTTCCACGTAAGGATGCTATTTTCATGTGATGAAAAGCTTTCCTGGTGATAGGTTTTGGGAGTGATCCAAGCGTTCCGAGATAAGTTTGAGTTTTCGATGTCGTTTGTCTAAACAAATGTGATTTCTAGGCACTATAGATTTCTTTAATAGTTGATAGCAGTTGAAATGGACCTGAAATTGACAATGTGTGGTGGGGAAAGAAATCTTCAGTTTTTGTAGGAGAACTCCTCTGGTGGGTTTATCAGATAGTTTAAACAAACTTTGATTGGGAAATGTTCACAGAAACATTCCACTGCCTGTGACAAATGGATAGTGAAATTCACTTTGAAATAAGATCTATACTGATAGAAAATTTGTACTCCTGTCTGGAAAAACTTTCAACAACTGACTTTGTAGATTGGATTTTTTTATCTAACTATCCAGTGTAATTGTTTGGAAGTACAATGGATGAAAGTTTTTAGAGTACTGGGAAGAGAATTACATTGTTTTTTCTTGCCATGCAGGCTGTATTTGGTTTGATGTTGGTGAAGAACTGTATACTCTACACCTGTTTAATCCAGTGACGGTCTTGTTCCAGACTCATGCAAAAAAATATGTTTGTTTCTAGATCAGTTCCAAGTACCAGATTAGAGAGGTTCTCTTGTACACAGATGTTCCAATTGACACTCGTAACATACACACTCATGCATGCCTCCACACAGAAAGACAGAAAGAGAGTCACAGAGAGAGAGAAAGAGTCACACACACACATAAACACTATGAAGCACACAAACACTATCATCCATATATTAGTTAATACACTTATCTGAACATTAATTGTATATTTATCATTAGCTATCCACCCTATAACAAGTTGAGTGAATGCAGCCTCTTCAAATAAATAAACAGTTGATTATGTAAACAGGGGGCCTGTCCTGGTGAAGAAGGCTTTGCCTGTACTTGAGTCTCTTTCTACCCCTTTGTTGATATTTGGATGTAAAAATAAACACTGATAGTGGGGGCAAGTTATGTGGTTTGTCAAAGAGGGTGATAATTTCACAAGTGCACTGGCTCCAGAGGGAACACTCATAGGATTAATAGGAAAGAAGGTTAAATTCATTATCCATATGTTGGGATGGGTACAGATTTAGCCCAGTTAGGAACTTAGTGTGAGAGAGATTGGTCAGTTTTCTGACAGGATTGAATTATGGTCTATTAATGACTATTGTCAGTTTTCAGACAGGATTGAATTAAGGTCTGTTAATGACAGTATTGTCAGTTTTCAGACAGGATTGAATTAAGGTCAATTAATTACAGTAACAGGGTGATTTGGTGGAATAAACATAATCTGGAAATGTCATTGCAATCAAATAGCTGGACTCTGTGGAGGGATTTATGTTGACATGTGATAGTTGTCCTCTAAATGAATGTGTTTATCTTTGGAAACAAGTACAGAATGGCCTCCA